GAGGTGGGGTCGGGCGAAGCGCGTCCTCGGACTTTCGCTATTGTGCCCGGCCCGAGTGGCGCGCTGTCTCCTGGTGACGGGAAGCGGCCGGGTCCGACAGACCGGGGCTCACCGACAGACCGGGCGCTTTTCAAGCCGCTCTACAGTGACCCCGGGGGCAGGGGTGCTCTGGCGGGTCAGGGTTGGAGGAGTTGAAGTCCTGGGGGCCGGAGGCTCCTTCTCCCGCCAACCGGGACCGCTCGCTAGCTGGGGACTAGCGCGCCGCAGCCGCCCCCTTGGCGCCCTCCCCAAGTTCCCGGTGGCCTGAGACTCGCGCCCTCCCGACAAAGAACTCGTGGGCCCGCCCGGTTCTTTTCGGATTCTTTAAATGCGGCGCGGTGGAGGTCTGCGGGCCGCCGCCGCCGCCGCGGAGGTGTCCCGGGAAAGGGGCTGCAGAAGATCCTGGGTCCCCACGGGATGGGATTAACTCGTTTGGCCAAAGGCGCGGTGAAAAGTAGTGTCCGAGAGGGTGCACGGTAGCTAGGGTCACTTCCTCGCCAGGCGCCCAGTCCCCCTTTTGCCTCTGGATCCCGCGCCTCAGAGCTGCAGACATTAAGTGTGCTTCTCCAGGGCGAGTGGCTGGGGGTTGGGAGGGAACGATCGAGGGGCGCCCGGGACCCCGCGGAGTGGAGGGTTTTGTCTGCGGATGCAACCAATTAAGCGTGCAGCCGGCGCTTGCAGAGCTGCGCGCAGCGCCCAGGGCGGGGGTGGGGGTTGTTCGCGGCTATTTCCAAGCCTCCGCGGGCAGGGCTGGAGCGGGACTTGTCTATTGAGAACATTTAAACTCCGCTTCCGCGGGCTTTAAAACTTCTCCTTCGTTCTTTAGCCTTAAAGCGCTTCCTTCATGGCAAATAGGCCGATTAGAAAATAATCCTAGAGTCCCAAAGCTGCCCAAGAGCAAGGTGGGGAGACCGAACAATGTTTGCTTGACAGTGCGTTTTAGAAAAACTGTTGTACCTTTTTGAAATCATCAAAGGAAACACGCCAATCTAGAGGCCCCTGAGTTTTCCCGCTCTGCCCGAGCGACACTTTATACCGCGGTAGGATCCTGTTTTACACCTCCCAGGAAGTCACTGCCCTTCCCCCCGCCCTTGTTTCCCACCCGCCACCCAGCTCTCTGTAACTCTACTAATTGCCCCCCACCTCCAAAAAAATAATCCAAAAGAAATTGCAGTGGGGTTTGGAGGTGATTGGAGGTTTTACCTTTGAGTTAAGCCAGAGTTCACAAAGAAAGAAAAATGTGTCTCCGATGTGTTTGCTCCGGATGTGCCCACTGGCGCTAGTGGTCCCACAGAAGCTTGCAGGAAACCTTCTCCAGATTCTCTAAATAGGATGCGAATTTTCACTGAAGATTTTCATGCATTTTAAGCTAATTAGTCTCATTTAATCACCGAATCTGAATGAAATGTAAATTGATGATTCACTGGATAAATATTTAGGATCTGGAATATTAATCATTGCATTTTCTTAACCACTTGAGTATTTACTACTTGGCATAGAAGCCATTTAAAGTTTTGCTAAACCTATTGATAGTTTCAATTTCTCCTTCCCAGACACTTCCATTCCTCCTCACTCCCCCAACTCCTTTTAGTTTTCTTCAGTCCACCCCGTACGAGTTTTCTCAAAAGAAAGTTTTGGAGAAAATGTTTATTTTTACCAAAAGATATTTAAATCTAGACTGGAGACCATTCCTGCATCTCCAAAAGGAAGTGGAGAATTGAAGCAATTATCTAGATAATTCAAGCAAAACCTCCCACAACAGATTTACCATAATTATTTGGAAATTTTAGGGGGAATGGAGTTATTTTAAGTTGAATAACTTCGATAATTGCTCCAATATTTCACTCAATGTGTTGATTGAGTCATAATTGACCTACAATGCATTGGAGACACAGAATGATCAAAAGCCACCTTTTCAATATGGAAGATTGTTGAAATATTTATGCTGTTAGCTTCATATTTCTGTTTGAAATGCTAGTACAATGGATAGTAGTATTTGTGTAAAATGCTGATTATTTCTATCAGCTGCCAAATGCATAACTTTGCAAATTTTACACTTTTAAAATGTATGACTTTCTTTCTGGAACATGCAGCCTTGTCAGCCTTTGTTACCTTTTTAGGGTTGAAATGGAGTCTAGTTTTCATATGCACAATAGAATTTCCTCTTTGAATTCTTGGATTAACAGTATAGTTATTTCCTCTTTCTGTAAACTCTGTACCATCATCATCCATTTATGCTTAAACTGAATGTGTTCCAACAGTTCTGTTCAGCAGCACAGGCAGAAAATATAACTATAGAGTCAGGGTCAATTTCTTTCAGACATTATTGCCACAACAGCATTTTTTTCCCCCCCGAAACTAGGAGCCAACTGGTGAGCCCTCTCCTAAGAGACCCAGGGGAAGACCCAAAGGCAGCAAAAACAAGAGTCCCTCCAAAGCAGCTCAGAAGGTGAGATTTCTTAAGTCCTCCCAACTTTCTCAACGCCCAGAGGAACCTCCCTGTAATTTTCCCATTCTACATCTGCACCTAAGGATTTGTCCCGAGTGGGTAACCCAAGACTCATTTCCTACCTTTAATATTAGCAAGATTTCCAAGCAGATGCTTGGCATAAAAAGTTCATGAAGATGCTTACGGTGTTGTTTTTTAAACAGACAAGCACCAAATAATACGGAAACTTAAAACGGAGAAGGGAGGGGAGGCGGGGGAGTGGAGAATGGACGAGCAAGATTTGCACCAGTTGTGAAATAGTTAAAAACAGTTCAAAGCTATGGATTGTCTGGTGGTGAAGTTTTTGCAATTTCCTTCTAAAATAACAAAGATTAATTTACTTTGTGCTTATTTACATGATTACTGGAAAACCAGATTCTGCTATGAAAGTTAAGTATTTTGCCAAATAGATGATAATTAGAAGTAGATCCAATTGTGGAATCCTGGGGGAAAATTTCATGAATTTTACAGCTTTAAATGTGCTGATAAACTGTACTGTTTGTTTACAATAAACCTGCAATATAATATATTATATAAACCTGCAGTATAAGATATAATCTCTCAAAAGCCTTTCCATCTCAGGTGACATAGAAACCCTCTGAATGGGACAATGAGAAGTTTTTTAAACAAATATTCCACTCACTTTTGTGTATTTTGGGGCAGGATAGAACCCAATTAAGTGTAACTTCCAGTGTTTTTCTTTATAAATTTTAAATTGCAGTTAAAACACTTTATGTTAGGTTGCATTTTAGCTAGCAAAGAGGAAGTATCTCATTGTGAAGGTGAAGACAAAATTTGCTTCTTTTTTTAGTTTTACAACTAAATCAGGAAAAAAAAAGTTGCTGTATTTCATTTGTAGGCTTATATATTAGTTAAAAACAAAGGTTCAAAATTCAGAGGTAAACTTTGATGTATCTTTTAAGTAGATTTGAGTATAACATGTAAAGTAGTTGTGAAAAAGGACTATATGCTCATCTTTGGGGGATTCATGTTTTGTGTGGTTTTCTCTGACTGTGGGCACTAACCATATTATATTTGATAGTTTTCAGTGTTGTAAACTGCCATAGCAACCAGTGATACATATAAAGTTATTTAAGAAGCAACTATAAGTTCTTGTCTGTTTTATTTTAATTGTTTTGAAAGAGTAGATTTCTAATATATTTAAATATAACTGCTTCTCAGAGGGGGGATTTAATTGTACTCACATTTAATCACTAAACTTTTAAGTAGCTCTAAATTATCTTATCATTTAAAAGTGACAGTATATAATCTGATATTACTAATATGAATACTTTCTATTTGTTACATTGTGCCTGCTTTATTAAATTAACTAATTTAACAAAGGAGTATTTTTTTAATGTGCCATAAATTAATTTTATCTTAATTTTTCTCTGATGAGATGGCAAACAAATATCTTGGTAGGTAGATGCCATTTAAACTGGGGCCCAATGACTCTGAAAGAAATGCAGCATTATAACATTTCCCAGGAAGAAATCTTAAATCTCATCATCAATTACTTAAAATTTAACATAAAAGAAGGAAAAGGAATTATCTCTCAGATTTTACTGCATTATCTTTTTTTTGAATGAGTAATGAGATCCTTCCACCATCTTCTCTTCGTTTTGAAGTGTTGGCCACTGACTAACAGAATCTTTATTGATAAAAGGAAAAAGCTGAGACTTGTACCTAATTCGCCACCTAAAGCAAAAATAACAAAAAGTCGATCTCTTCCCAACTAAGGTTTGACTTATTCTTAGTTATTTTGGTGGTAGGCGTTTACAAATGACCCTAGGGCTACTCATCCTTCTGAGAATTCTTCATGTGTATGCATACAGGATTACAACTTCCACAACGAGAAGCAGGTTTTCTTTCTCACAAAGAAATTTTCCTCTGAAATCTTTCATCCTTTCAGACAAAATTATTTCACACAATTCTGTTATGAAAGTCCCCTTTCTAATAGAAATGGGTAAATATTTTTGCTCATAACATGACTGTTACATTTCTTCAGTTTTATAAATTACGCTTCATTTGGAGAAGATAATACTTTGCAAAATAATGAATGACATTGATGAATTGTTCATGGCATGTGTAAACTTAAGGTATTTTTACTTTCAAATCAGTATTTATTGAGTTTGCTACTACCCTATGTAAACATGATTATCAAACATATATTTGTTTGTCTAATGTATATTGTGCTCTAATGAAACATATTTTTTGTTAGGATTTTGAAAAGTAATCCTTTTTAGAAAAATTTACATTGTTCATAACACATAAGATGAACATACCCAGCTAGACTGACCAGGGTAGTTATAAGAAGTCTTCTGTGATTAATAAATTGGGAATTCTCCTGCAAACCAAGATTCATCAAAATGGAAAATGTATAACAGAAACTGGTAAGTATGTAAGAGAACAGAACACTAAAATGAGAGGAGACGCAGGGGACACTGGAATGCTGATGATGTTGTGTGTTTAAAATTTCTTGCTGCTTGGAGTTTCTTTACTTACAAAGTTTGTATTGGGACTCAGTAACTGGCCTTGGGGCATTTGAAAACAAAACTGCTTGTTGGAAAATTAGCAGTGTGAAACTTGACAATGCATGTGGAATGTTTCAAGACCAAGTGGAAGGCTACTAAATTAGCAATCACTTTAATTTCAGGCCATATTCAGTATAAAGTTGATTTGTATAATATATAAAACAAACATTTATAAAAGCAGAAATTGTTGTGCTTGTAACTTTTGGAAGAGAAAATAATTATTCTTCAATTTGCTTCTGTTCCATTATGACAAATTCCCATGATGACTCTGATGTAGCAATTCTAGTCATTCCTAAGAACACCAATCTGAGTGCTCAAAATTTATCCCTGAACCAGTTTCATATTGTTGTCTTAATAAAAGGAATCAGAAGTTAATATTTTCCTGAATAAATAATGTACTCGTGTATGTGTGTGTCAGTGTATGTGTGTCTTGACCCTTTATTTATGTTTTAGTTTGAGATATACCTGTGACCAGTTGCCACTTAATTTCCTTTTTATTTTGCTTTGTTTTCCTCACCTGTTTGTGCTGGATGGAAATACTTTGTATTTTCACATGTCTCCTGGGGAGAAGAAAGACATAATCTCCTTTAGGTTTAGTTGAGGGTTTTTGTTGTGGCTTTTTAATCATGAGGGAACACTGGAGGGGTTTCCTTCACTAATTCTCTGGTGTTTAAGGTCACAAGTCAAATTCATCTGTAAGTCTCAAGCCAGTTCTCTTTCAGGTACTTTTAGGAAAAAAAATTTTTTTCTGAGATTGAATTAAATTTTAATAGAAGAAATTGCATGTAAAAAAAGATTTCAGGTGTAAGATAACCCTACTTCATAGTATCATAGATTTGCTTGAACTTCCTTTTGACTTTAATGAAGAGAACTAGAGAGCAAAGTACAAAATAAATGTATCATCTAGGTAAAGTAGGTATACTTCAAATAATGTGTTCAGGCAAACATTTAACTCCTATCTTCCATTTGCCTGTACAAAAAAGGTTTGATATGAATTGGATGCTACAAAGGCAGATTTGTGCTCCTCTAATCATGTTCCTAGAAAGGTGGTTGATTTTTCGCAAATCATTACTGACACCAAACACAGATATTTTAGGATGAGAGAATGTGGGTTTTCATCATCATTGCAGATAAATGTTAGAGCATAGATGCTGAGTGAAGACGGGATTTTTTATAGGAAACAGTGGGTCCAGTTGAGGAGAGTAACCAAAGGCATCATCATAGGTAAATCAGGGAAAGGTGGTGTTAGATGTTGACACATAACTCCAGCCTATGGCTTCTATGTCACTGGTATCCTCTGGGTTTTAATGGACAAGTAATTTCCACTGGGACTCAGGGTTCTATCTGAATGTACAGATGAATCCAGTCAGATGGAATGAAGGAAAGCCCAGTTGTCTCCATCATCTTGGTCTCTTAGGCTGTCTCACCTAAACAGTGAATTTTGTTCACTTCACTTTGCTGTAGAGGACTGAGCCTTTGTGCATCAATAAATTCTATCTCACTGTGCCTTTGAGTCATCATAGATTACAATCCAAATTTGGGAGATTCAAATATGTTTGGATTATTTTATGAAGCCGCTTTTCTTCAAGGGACCCAGAGATCTCATTCTCTGGTAGTTATTCTTCTGGACTTTTTCATCAAAAGCCTCTCATGACTTCAACTGACCTACCAGTCTGGCTCATTTCATCTCAAAGTCTTAACAGATCATTTTGCTAAAAGAATATACCAGGTTGGTATTCTGTTGCATTTCAGTTCTTATTTTTTTGTGGATAGATGGGTGCTGAAGAGCATTTTGTGTTAGTTAAATCATTGAGAACTATCTTATCTTGTTAGTTGACTCCCTGCTGTTTCCAGAGGTCATTTTGGAACCGTATAGCTTGGCACAGAGATGGAACAATGAATTTGACTATCCTAAATTCTGAAATTTTTAGCTCTGGATTTTTGTTCTGCCAACCAGGGGAAAAAGTTGGAGATCTGATTATGTTTTAGACTGCTGCTTTATTCTCTATTGCTTTAATCCACTGAATAATGCTGAATGGCATCTTCTAATTGATTTAGCAAGGAGTAGTCACAGCCATTTTTCCCTCCAGGAGAATATGGGAAGCAGTTTACTCAGAAGGTAACCCCTATGAACTCTCATATCGTTGCTATAGATTTTTCTGATTACAAAAGAGGTAGAGGGACGGCTGAAAGTGGAGGCTCTTAAACTTTCAAAATAGCATGTCCTGTCATTTTGGCCTTGTCTTGAATTTGGTGTTTGTATAGGTGAAGACAGGCGTGTGTAAATAATGACATGGGAGTTGACAACAAGGACTTCCTTGGGTAAAATGACTATGAAATACAAAGGATGATAGAATTTACTTCTATTTCCTTTTGGAAAAATGTAAGGTGATGGCAAACTTGTAACATCATTTAAAGACTAAAAAT